GTGCGCGTGCGCGTGCGCGTGCGCGGAAGGGGGGGGGAACCCTGTGACCTGACCAAGGGACGCCCAATGTACATAAGAAGCAAAGGCTCGGCACATGTGCAGTGGTCGCCGGCAGCTTAGGATTTTGTTGCAGACATTATGAAACTATGTCTTTTGCAATTATGTCTAGGAGTCTAGGACTAGGTTAGAGCCTTGAGTCCCACCAAAATCGGAACAGACGCAGCGAAATGCAAGAATGACAAAACGAAGCCACCTCACCGACGACATCTCAGATCAAGAGGTCTGATGTGTCTGTGTCCGTGTCTGTGTCCGTGTCCGTGTCTGTGTCTGTGTGTATGTGCTTTTGCAGTCAATTTGTCTCCAGCTGCTCCTGATCTCGGCGCCTTCGCTAAACTGATTCTCATTCGCCATCCTCCCGAAAACTGCACCACAGGCCTGCCAGGCTCGTCAAGTCTGTGAGTTACACAATTGGCTTGGCAATCGGAGGTGGGCCTTCGTCAACGCTCCACAAACACTGCATGAACCACATCGCAAGCCAGCAAACTGAGAAAATCGTCAGCGGCCTGTCCATTGAAAACCGGTCTTCATCTGGATGGCCGTTTGTGAATCCTAAGCCTCAGCAGACCATGCTGACAGCAATGCGGCCAAAAGCATCGCAGCAGATCTGAGGCCATTGCCACACAAAATCTTTCGAACCTCAGCACCCCAGCATGAAAGGAAACCTTCGTTGTACAGAATGTCCGCGCAGGCTGTCAGGCTGGAGTGCAATCTGAGTTGCTCTAGCTTCAGCAGAATCTGCACCGATGGCCTGGGACGATTCAAGATTCTTGGGGCCTAAGGGCGTAGGGCTTGTTCGCCGAGGCTGGCTGTCAGATTGCAGTAATGGCTCGGCTGAATGTGCTGGCCCTCAACGCTTGACCAGACAATTCTGGGCAATCTGGCAGTTGCTGACGTGCTTGTCATTTAGGGGTTGCTCTGGCTCTGAAGATGCTGTGGGTAGTTGCCGTTCATCGAAGGTCCAAGACCTCCATGTTGCAGATATCCCAGTCGACAAAGACCACCATAGTTGTGGCAAATGCGCGAAAAAACGGACCAGCAAGGGGAACAGTCGCAAGCACACGAAGCAACCGACGCTCCTTGGTTGATAAAACACATTTCTGGCCTCCAGCTCTGCAGAGGTGTTCTCGAGATCAGAGCGCATCCTGAAATGGTTCAGCCGTTGTCAACCTCGACTGTCCAAGCACAGTTCTGTGGGTGTTCAGTCCATTTCAGTCCTTTCCAAATCTTCTGCGGAGACCTCCTCTCCTTTCTCCATGGCTGTCTCCATGTCCTGTTAATGCACTTCTTCGTGCCTCTAAGATGCAGGATTGGTTGGTCAGCGAAAAACAATCCTCCAGCTTCTGAAGCAGGTCTTCTTCTCTCTTGATCAGCTCCGCCGCCCTATCACACATAGTCACACATGAGAAGGACTGTGTGGTGTTAATGTTCGACGAAGACCCACCTGATGTCCGCTGCCAGCACTTCTTCAACTGCAGACCGCTCCGTTGCTTTCGCTTCCTGTTCCACCAGAATGACGTCCCAATTGACCGGCACCGGCCTCAGCAAGCCAAGCATGCTACGTGCTTGTGTAGAGGCAGAGAAGTGTTCGAGTCAAATGCTGACTGTCAAAGCATGTCAGAGCGAAACCCAGGTCAAGGATTGCATCTCGATCGATGATTGGCAAATCTTGGGCCCAAAGCATCTCACGCGCCGCGATGTGCCGCAGCAACGTGGTCTTTCCCTGCAGTTGTCTGGGATCCGAAACAGTTCTCACAACTCTGGTACTGCCCGCCAGTTCACAGTTTGGAATGATTTGGAATGGGCTCGCCACAGGCTGGGCCCCGGCTGGGCATGACGTGCGTCGCCATGAACTCTCGACCTGGCCTGACCATTCGGTCCGAGGATGCCATAGCGGTGGCCTTGAACGATGGTGATGCTCGCCTGCGGGCTGGGAAAAACATCCGGGAATGGAAAGCAAAAAGCATCGTCGCTTCGCCGGGGCCGCTACGTTGTCGAACAAAGTCTGCTTCGGCGCCGAGAGCGTGAAGTTGTTGCAGACGAAAGCATCGCCAGAAGGCGGAGGCTCGTTCTTGCCACCCTTGCATGCCATGCAATGTGATGATGCTTGAAACATACATCACTTTTGGTGAAGCGCGGGCCTCAAGGATGATGCTAAAAGCATTCATTCCACCCACCGGTTCATCGTCCTCGTTCTTGTACACGACATTCCTGAACTGCTTGTGTCACCAACCAACCCAACAGAAAGGACATGAAAACGAAGGGCCCGGCTTCTCTTGATGTCTGTCGTAAGCCCTCTTCTCCTTTGCACAAGTCCATTGCTTAGATCCAATGCCTCAAGCCCGGATTTGCTTCGTCCCCTTCTTGTGAAGCTAGAGCATAGAACACTTCATGTGACCGCTGAGGAGACCGTATTGGAGGGTGCAGGTGACGTGGCTATCATCTCCTTGTTCGACAGCTTCTCTCCAGCTTCCACCTTCTTGAGGATTGCCTGGCTTACAGCAGTAGCCACGAATGTTACTTGGACAGACAATTAGATGCCTCGATTTCATCAGCCTTGGATGGCGCTTCCTGCGGTTCGACACAAAGCGATCATTCCACCAGCATGTCCGTCTTCACCGGCACAGTGCTCTGGGAATCATTTCTATAGGCCTGAACACAATCACGGCCGAATGATTACTACGAGTATCGTCATCGCTTGGCGGAGCATGTGCTCGCGCACGTTTGTGTACTAACAGAGAAGTTGCACAGATCAGATCACAAATCACAACCCTTCCGCAGTGTCTGTTTCCTGCAATTCTAAGCTCCACCTCAACCCTGGCAAAGGGTAACCTACGCTGTCTCAAGACGTCAATCGGTCTCTGCTTTTCTGGCTGCCCACATGTTTTGTCGGTGTCAATTCGCTTCTCTGTCCTTTATATCTATGTCTGCGATCTTCATCCTCGGTTGGGTGCAAGAAGCTGAATTGGCAGACTTCAAGGGTCGAGGGCAGACACTTGCTACAATATCATTGATCCGCAATTCTTGAAACGCTTGCGCCACGCACCCGCACCCGTGCATCCTTACGGGGGTTGAACCCTTCTGCTTGAATGGTCGGCCTCTTCCGAGCAGTGGTCGCCCCAACACAAAGAAAGCAAATCCCTCAGTCCAGCCATAGACCCGGGATACCCAGGCAACTTTTCGAACCACAATAAGGATTCTGCTTCAAAAAACTCCAAGCTGGCAGACAAGGCCGTGTCACCGACTGTGCCATAACTGCGGCAACCATACCGGATGTTCGAGCGACCGCAGTTATCTGACACAGGCCTGCTCGAGGGCGGAAACCAGCTACCGTGCGAATGGCTGGCATGTGCAGAATTAAACAAAAGAAAGCAGCACAGGAGGAGAGGGGACGGGGTGGGTCGGGCACGGGCAAAATACATTTATGCCACGCTCTCGGATGCTCTTGCTTGTGTGGTTGGCAGAGGGGAGGCCTGCAAAAAAGGGAACCGAAGGGCCGGAAAGGGTTGAAGTGGGGCGGGTCCGGAGCGGAAGCAGCGTTTGCACTCAAGCACAAGCAGCACTTGCCCAGACAAAAGTTTGAATCGACAGCACATGTCCTTGGCTGAACTGGATGCGGCAGATCTTCCAGCGCGCCTCAAGAGCTCCACCCAACCGCGCTTGACCACCAGACCACAACCGTGAATAACCGGAGACCCGACCTGGCTGCAGCTTCTGCTCGCTCCCTCGGACACACGCAGGATCCCGCAGGAACGTAGCAAGATGGAGTAAATTCAGTGAGCCATGCCCCTGCTTTGGTCTTGGGGAGTGGCTTCTCTTGAAGTTCCTCTTCTGACAACTTCTCCTTCTGCACACCAACTCAGAGACTCACCGTGCACAACATGTGTTTAAGAAGAGGCAGCTGACCTCTCCAAACATCTCCGCATGAAAGTCTGGCAGGACCTCTGTGACTGTTCAACAACGTGCCAAGCTTTCACCAATCCATTGCATATCATTGCATATCATAACAGGTGCCATCTAATAAGCTTGGTCTCCAGCAAACACCAAGCAGGTTTCTAGTCCAGAAGGCGGCTTCGGAACTTCAATGTTTCTATTGTCTGGGTCGCGGTAGACCTGCGACTGCAAAATTGTGTTTATAATCATCAGCGTTCAATATGTGAATTGCAAGCCTTCTTCTTGACCTCGTGTATAGGCGCAATATCTTCGGAGAACTCAGGCCTCAATCAGCTCAAGCCTAACGGCCAGCATCAACAATTGCGAACTTCAGCTTCAGCCAAAGTGCAGATTGAAGTCCGGACCCAACACCTCGCTGGAACAAGATGAACGATAAGACGGCTATTCAAACACCTACAATCATTCCTACACGCCCTGCTTCTGGCCTGCCAGGTCCTCAGAAATGGGTCATCCTGCAAGGTCACTCAAGCCATGCCAGCACTCGCCACGCGCTGCTTAACATGTGACGCAAGATATCTGCAATTTGCAGCGAAACTGCTTCCAGTATGCAGCTGCACCTCATTTGGAGCCTTGCTCAAAGCCACGTACACGGTCGCCGGTCGAAGCAGAGTCAGCTTGACTCCTGGCTCCTCTGGGGCGAACTTTCGAAACCTGCGAAGCCAAGAGAAGCTCTGCAATCCTCCTTGGGACCACGGATGAAGGTGAAGCCTTTGACAGCCTGCAGAGAGCAACCCAAAAGCTCAAAGCTTTCCACTGCTTGATCAAGCCTTTAGATCACCCAGGGACTCGAATTTGGCTTGGGCATTGGTGTAGAGCTTCTCGTCCATGAAGGTTCTCGTTGACACCCTCGACAACAAACATGCGTTGGCACATGCCATACATGCCTTATGCAAGAGGCTATGGAATGGCCATGGAATGGCCGAGAGCTGGGGACATGACTGGCATCGTGACCCCGATTGCGAGACGGCTGTTTTCACGGTGTTCTTCATGATGTCCATAACTTCCGTCTTCTCCTGTGACCGACGACTCGCCAGTGGCACGTCGAGAGTGCGAACAGGCCGGGCGCGGCACCATGAAATTTCCGAGGCCGCTCTTGTCCTCTTCGCAGCTTAGCAGCACGCAGAATCTCCAAAAGGTTCAAAGCAAGCCAAGGGGACCATAATCTGGTACGTGTCATCTGCTTCATCTTTGGTCTCTTGCTCCTCAGAGACGGAGACTCGAGCTGCCAAAGCCAAGTCAAGTTCTGAGCGTCGAACTTTCCGAGCTGCCTTTATTGCCTTGTTTCGCTTTTCAGCTTCCTTCCTAATTCGATGCATGAAATAACTCAAACTTTAACACGTGTCGTGCACAAATCATCACAACGGCATTGCCTGGCTTCCTCTTTCTTGGCCTGCAGCCCACTGTGTCAACTTCCTGCGGCAAGCCTGACATGGTCCTGGAGGCCTCGTGTTGCTTCTTGAGTGTTGCAGTGATCACGTCGCTCACTCCGATCAAGCTCTTCGTCTCTGCATCCTCGAGGGCACGAATCCAAGCAGCTCCACAAGTCTCTGCCGTCGCTGGAGTTGACACCGAAATGCACGGCACGACTGTTCGCACAGAGACATGTTCCACGCGCTGTCTCTGCGTCTGTCTATGCCCGTCCGTCCGTCTGCCTGTCTGCATGTTTCAATTCTGTCTCGTTATCTGGCTATCTGCTCTTCGGCGAGTCCTCTGGTCTAGAGCAGTAACGATTTTAACTTCTCTGAGTCTGTGTCCGCAAAGCACGGCGACGCCTTCTTAATCTCCTTCTCCTTCGCTATCTCCTTTTCGCGCTTATCTTGTGGCGCCTCTTCAAACAGGGCTCAGAACGCCCTGGCAGTTGCCGCTGGGTCGCTGGTGGCCTTGGGGCCGCCATAAGCATTGGCTCCGGCGAAGGAGCCCGTGTTGTCCACTGTGGATGCCCACAAGTCTAGACCACCTTCATCTCGTCGCTTCTCCTGATTCGAACACAAGTCTTCTTTGAGAACATTGACAGGCTCAACCAACCTTTGCCTTCTTCTCCTTCTTATCTTTTTTATCATCTTTCTCCTCCTTTTTCTCCTTCTTGTCCTTTGGATCTTTTTCTTTCTTCTCTTTCTTATCTTTCTTCTCTTTTTCAGCCATGGCGCTGTCTTTCAAGGCAGAAGTCTGTAGTGCTGGCTGCGGGTCGACTGCTTGAATCGGCCAGAACTGGGCACTGTGTTGGCTGATCTTGCTAGAGAACGCCCTTCCATGGTGGCATAGCTGCTGAGTGAGGGCTGTAGCAACATAGCCGTAAAAGCTGCTGCGACAACAGTTCTACGTTCACCATCATGCTCATGATTCCTGGCGACTCTATACTCTGCAAAACTTGTCCATCCATCCGGCAAGCGTCCCTTGAAGACCTGGCATTGTATGTCGCTTTCGGGAAGCTTACACCGGCCTGGTGTTCAGGCCATGTGGCAACTGGGTGAAGACACGATTCTATGTACACTTGCATATGGAAGAGCCATCTGTGCAACTGCGCCATTTCCTTCTAGTCGCCTAGCCCTTCGACCATGAGTGAACCGTGCTCTTGCAGAAGCTCCTGATGATAGGGTCTTACTCACTTGTACCAGACTACGACATCCTGTCTGTCACGTGACTCTTTTGTGCTGCTCGCTGCAGCGCGACTTGGACAGAAACTGTGATCTGCGCTGTTTGCGTCCAAGCTGTGAATTGAAGTCCCCATGCTGCTTTTTCAGCACGTTGTCGGGCAGTCTTTGACTGAGGCACCTGGCTCGCTTGCTGAAAGCTGTCAGGCTTGTGCCTGCTCCGACCCATGAAACCACTGCCATGTACTAGGGTGTTGTAATGATGCTGGATCCGCTGTCTGGAAACAATTTAACACTTGCGATGACTCAATAAATAGAAATCATCTGCATGCGCAGTAGACGTCATGATGCACGGCACTGTGGATCCTCCGAGGCCCCGCGCAGCACCTCGTGTGCGGCCTTCTTGCATTTTCCTCTCGCCTTGTTCGGTGATCTGCCAACAAATATCCGCTGCTGTTTGGATTCTGTCGGATTTCTCCGGAGTTGCAATCAGGGCCGGCGAGATGCTGGAAGGCAGGCAGCGGAGAAACAGCTCCTGTCACCTTCGCAGCAACATGGCACTCAGATCACAGTCGACAAGAACAAGTAGGGCCGTAGGGCTTGCATTAGACATTCAGCTTGAGGTTTCAATACGCTCCTTGGGACAATTCCGGCGCCTCACCAGCGTGGATGCTTGCAAGCCTGCCACGTAACTGCAAACACACAAGACCCTGCATAAGTCCAAGCTTTAAACTTACTTCTAAAGACGGCAATTCAAAAGTAATTCTTCTGAGACCAAAGACCGGCTGTGGCGCGATGCCAAAGACAAGCGCGTTCGCAGGACTGCGACAGTAGAGGTGCCTGGGTCTCCACGGACAGCTTGTGGAACTTGTGGAGTGCCTTCGAATGCGCGGGCCATTCCCTCGGCACGGAAAGAAAACATTCGCGCAGGTCTCTTGTGTCCCGCCTCGAAGGCCTTGAGAACACTGAAGAAGTGCTGCTACTCCCTGCAGCGAACGTTGTTCCGCTCATGGAGGTATCATGATCCCTACGGAACGTGCAAAGCGCTCCCTAAACCCAGAAAGTGCCAGCTTCCATTTGTTGGGTTCTTCCCACACCGGAAGGCCTCCATCTACGTCTCTATATTGTCAAACAGCTCACAAACTCTGCAACGGTTGCGCAAAGCTTGCTTGCTGCACGACCTTTGATCGGAAGGCTCAAGGCTTGGTGATCGAGAAGAATGACAAATCATTCAGCGCTGTTCAGCGCACTTCAGCGCTGACCGTGACGCAGAGCTTGCAGTGCGGCCACCATTGCACAACAGCTGACGGCCCATCGGATTGGCTGTGCGGAGTGCGAAACCTAGCCCTAGGCCTAGACACAGTGGAGGCTTATAGACACCGCCCAGCTTAGCTTGTTCCCGACTCAAAACTAGAACTTTGATGACCTTCAGCATCCATAGCCAGCGTTTGCTCGAAGTCCAACCTGGCTCGTCACCAACATAAAACCACTGTGCGTGCAAGCTCCTTAGTTTTACAAGACATGACAGCGAAACGAAAGGGGTGCTGGGCACATAGACCGCACGACAGGCGTCACCGGCACGGAAGGAAGCCCTGCTCAACGGGATAACAGGGCTGAGGAGCAAAGCTCAGGACACATCCATGCGCTGTTGCCTGTAGAGCGCCATGCATCGTCGGACAGCTCTGTGCACCTGCCGTGGAAAACACTGATAGCAAGTGGCAACCCATCACGAGCCCGCCGCACAGCCGAGCTTGCAAACTGGTTGGGACTTGGATCACATGAAAACTTGAGAGGTGTCACGAGTAGGCTTTTTCGAATTCGACTCTTTGAAAGTTTTAACGTATCAAGTGTAGGACAAGATTGGAGGGTTTATTTTTTGAAAAGCTTGTGGACTGAGAAGTTAGAGGTTCGATTGTGTGAATGTTTCGAGATTGAAAGTGAGCGCGAGTTTAGAGTTTGAAGGTCTGATCGAGAATCCACCTCGAAAGTTTGCAGCCGGCGCTGCCGTGCGAGAGACGTCAGGTGAAGGACACGTGGAGGACGGAGGTGGGCTCACGGAGCAGCTCCCGGGCTCGATTCTAAATTCTAAAAGCTTGAAAGGCCGGAGCTTGAAAGTTTGAAAGTTTGAGAGTCTGAACGATTGAAAGTTCGAAACTTTCAAATTTTGGAGTTTTGAAGAGTTGAAACGTTCACGTTTGGAAAAAATTTTGGAGTTTGAACATATTGAAAGCTTGAGTTTGTGAAAGCGCGTTGATGTTTTGACGTTTCAGCATGAGGCTTGAGTCTAGGGCCTAGGGTTTGAAGGAACGAATTACCAACTTTGCTTGAAGTCAAAGGGTTAAGATATGTGATCAACCGGTCTCGCCAAAAGACGGGGCGGGTTTAATAAATGTGATGAGCCGGGATCGCCAGAGGTGGAGGCGTGTTTAAGAAATGTGAACAACCGAAATCGCCAGGCGCGGGTTTCGCCCAATGAAAGCGGGTGGTGCAGACAAGTGAAGAACCGGAAAAGCTTAATGAGCCGGCCAGGTTTAAGAAAGGTGATCAACCACTCAACCATCATCCCCTGATCCCCAAATGAGGGGGCGTTGAAGATATGTGATGCACCGGAATTGCCAAGGAAGGGCATGTGTTTCGAACATGTGATCAACCGGGATCGCCAAATCAGGGGAGCGGGTTTAAGAAATGTGGGTTCGAGGGGGCGCATTTGAGACATGTGATCAACCGGGATCTCGAAATGCAAGGGGGTGGGAGTAATATGTGTGATCAACCGGTCTGGCCAAAGAAGTGGACGGGTTTAAGAAATTTGGTGAGCCGGGATCGCCAAAGAGGGGCCGGTTTAAGAAATGTGAAAGAACCGAGATCACCAGGCGCGGGTTTAAGCCTTGTGATCAGCCGCGATCGACAAATGAAAGGGTGTGGTTAAGATACATGAACAATCGAAAAAGCTTAATGAGCAGGAGGGTTTAAGAAATGTGATAACCGGAATCGCCAAACGAAGGGCGGGTTTAAGACATGCGAAATACCGGAATCGCCAAGGCGGAGGCGGCTTCAAGAAATGTGATCAACCGGGTTCGCCAAATGACGGGGCGCACTTAAGACATGTGATGTAGCAGGATCAACAAATCTCGGACCTTTCAAACCTTGAAAATGTTCAATCTCGAAATTCCAAACTTTCGAAGTCTCAAACTTTCGAACTCGAAAGTCGGCGGACTTTCGAACGTCAAACTTCCAAACCTTCGAATTCTCAAACTCGCGAAGTTTCATGCAGCACAAGACTTTCGAAGACTTCAACTTTCAAGCTTTCGAACTCCGAATCTTGCAAAGTCCGAAACTTTCTAACATTTTAGCTTTCGACCTCAGTGGCCAGCCGCAGACCGAACCTGAAGCCAACCTTACAATCTCCAAACAAACTTTCGAACTTTCAAATTTTCGAACATTCGAACTCTGAAAAATTGAAACGGTCAAACTTTCGAACCGAAACTGTCAAACCTTCGAACGTTCAAGACTTCAAAATCTCCAACTCTCAAGCTTTGAAATCCGATCGAACTCGAGCCGGCAAATGATTGAAGTTTGAGTTTGCAGAAGTTAGTCAGCTAGTCAAGCTCGAAAGTTCAATAGATTGAGATTTTCCCAAGTTTGAAATGTTCGAGATTGCAAAGTTCGAACTTTGGCGCCGGCTTTTTTGTGCAGGCCGCGGTGCCCAAACCTTCGAACTCCAGTGTTCTTGAAACCTTCGAGCCTTCAAAGCTAGAAAGTGTCACGTTTTGAAGCTTTCAATCTCTCAAGCCTCCGAGTTCGAGCGACTTCCCTCGGGACACCTTTCTGAAAACTTGCATACCTGCTCGAGTTGTGGACTTTGTTACCTGTAATTACCTGTATACTCAAACCTTCTCAAAGACCGCCATCTTATTTGCACCATGAAGGCATGGCTACACCCCTTATATGGCGCGGCCAGTCCGGGATCTGGGGTCTGAAAACTTCGTGCGCGCCACACCACATCAGATTCTCTACATCTAGGCCATATGCGATCAAAATACATCAAAAGATCCCCGAGGCTTGATTTCTAGATAATTCACAATGCCTTTCCTTAACTGGCTAACGACTTTCCGCAGCCTTTTATCCGGGTCGACTGGGCACCGATTGGCAACATGGCGTCTAGATGCGTCTACGGTCGAAACGAGTGCTTCTTTTGACAGCACTATTACGCTCACATATTCTGTCATGATCACCAACATCGGAAGATCGTTGCGTTTCTGCTACAAGACCCCAAGTTTTCCCGATTCAATATGTTGTACTGCGCAAAACTGCTTCGGAAAAGGTTTCGGACACCGCGGGACAAAATTGCTTTTCGGGTATTTGTCAGCATTGTAGGATGCGAAGCTATTTGATCTTTAAGAGGTAATGACCTGAAACGAAATACAAATCTGTCCGACTTCGGATGTTTTCATACGAATTGTTGCGGCGTGACTGGAATAACCAGTGTGAAGAGCACAGGAATCCATTAATTCTCGGTCACAAAACAGTGACGCAACCCATCTCATATCGAAAAAAAAGGCAACGGCAATAGCAGAGCAGAGGCGTTCACAGAAGTCGTATCAGAGTATGATAGGGTTTAGGTTAACTGCACAGGAAAGCACAATGCGGGACAAACCTTTTTGTCGGGCGGGGCTACCTGAACTGTACCCGGAGGCAAGCGTTAATCAAGCAAGCTGCGAAGTGAAACAAAACTAATGCGACACGCAACAGCATGACAGGCCCCTCGATGCGAAGCACAGGCGTGGGAGAGCAGAGTTGAAGTGTGTCAGTCGATCGTTTTATTATAGTGCATCGATCGTTCGAAGGCCCAAAGCAAACACACAAAAGATGTGGGTTGGTTCCTGTCTGCTGATCGGGTCTATGCTTCAGACTGTACATTCGCAGCCTCCTATCGTAGGATCTACAGCAAAGTACCGATTCGCAGGTACAATGGGTAAACCCTTTGATCGCAATGTAAGACATCGGAGTGATGCGCTCAGAACCGCAGCTCGGCACCATCGCGTGCCAGTGAGAAAAAATATACACACGAGGAAAATACCACGGCTAGCCATTGCACCCCTGTGAGTCTTGTCAGACTCGGCAAAGACAAAAAGCATGCTGAGGAAAGCATCGCAAATGATATCAACCGAAAGCCACACCATCAGAGCCGACAACACCAGTTAAAATTTGAGGATTTTGAGGGACAGTGATGGTCTTGAAGGACCAACCGGAGCATCACTCGATTTCAGAAGCACCTGCACAAGAGACACGTTCGTGGAATCACAACACATCAGAACCAGCTAACACAAGCAGGCACTGAAGGCAAACAAGTGGCATCACAACACATCCAAACCAACACTGTGGCGGAAGAACCGACATTAGAAAACTCAGTGGGTATCATAAATCCGCAAAAGACTTGGGCCCGTAGCCTTCAAACTCAGGCCTCTAATGCAAATAACAAATACAACGGAAAATGATTGCTACTACTGGATGACAAAATATAGCAGCTACTGCTGTGCTGCTCTGCCTCTGCTGTTGTCGCTGCACTACTACAGAAAGAACATGTCAATTGCCGTAAGTGCAGCTTCAGCAATCAGACCTCAACAATCCCGAACCAACAGTGATCACGAAACCCCAAGTAGACGCGACCCCCCCCCCCCCGATGTTTTCCCTTCTGAGGTGGAGTCCAAACGAAATGATGCGACTTAGCTTCGTCACTGCACCTGCGCGCGCATGTGGTATGTGTGGTTGTGTCCTTGTGTGTGTGTGTGTGCGCTTGTATTGGCTGCTCGCTGGCCCAACATGGAATCGAAAAAAAACATCGAAGTCGGCCTTCCTCTTCACAGCATCTTAAATCTTGTTTGAGACCCTGCAACCGTGATGTAAGTACAGCCGCAGTATGTTCAAGAACTTACCTTGCCCAAGGTGGCCAAGTCAGGCACCATAACTTGTGTCCCAACATGTCCCAACCCATCCGTGGCATCGCATCCACTTATTCTCCAGCCAGAACAAGCAGTTATTGTCAAAGCACTTTGCGAAAGCATGACGGATCATGGCGCGACGGAATAATATGTTAGGAGGTTATGGTCGCTTTGAAATAGACAGGCCAGCGTGGCGAGCTGTCTTGGATTCCTTCGTGTGGCTCTCTGCCTCGCAGCTCGTTACATGCGCAGGCAAACGCACCGTGGCTTCGTCTCGCAGAGGCAGCGAAACTTTGGGCCGCGCTCACCCCAAGGAACCGCTGACAGAGCGCAAGCTCCTCGCACGGAGATGTGACACTGGCGGCGGTCGAAGCAAGACCCTACGGCAGCTTGTGGCCAAAAGCACGCGCAAATCTTGCATCAAAGCATGCAAGTGCTGACAGGCAGGCTGTCAGCATGTGATGCAATGAGATCCCAGGATGCTGTCAAGTACACCGTAGCATGGCAACCTGTCCGCAAGCAGAAATGCGGACACGGACATGCGAAGCGATCAGAAAGCTGCGCAACATCTGAATACTGTCCGAGTAATCGTCAAACTTGTTTCACGGAGCCCAAAGCAAACGAGAAGCACTGAAGAATTAGACCAGCCGCTTTCTGGAGAGCAACCCAGACACGCGGAGCAAACGAAGAGGCGACAATCAACAAGAAAGGCGACTAGAATGAACAGAGAAACACGGGTGGAGAAGAGATAAGGTAATGACAGATTCGAAAAAAGACGAGCAACGCACGAAATAGTTGAAAAAAACAACACACCAAAGATGCAAAACAGCCAACAAAGAACAGAACAAATAAACCCGCATGTCACGACATTGCGCTCATGTCGTCTTGCGATTATGTTCTGTTCTAAGCTACTTTGACATCTTTGCACTCCTGCAAACTGCGTAAACAACACCACGTGTTCACGATTTGACACCTTGGGCACTGACTCAATCAACTCCGACCAGGAAGAAAACCAAACAGGTGCCACACGCAGCCAAATGATCATAACGACGTTCCTGAAGACATGTGTGGATGCTGGATAGGTGCACTGGCATTTGCTGGAATTCCTGGGTCAACTCGCTTCGTGCTCGTCTCGCTTTGTTCCTTTCAGGTGGTTTAGCATGGTCTGCGGCAGTAGGTCGCAGTTCATCCTTGCCGCTCTGAATGCTTTTTGCAGCTATAAGGTAGTCGAACGGTTGTGGTGCAGACCGGCTGCTGCAACTGTACACGATGCGACGTGTTGTCCACTGCTTTTGCATGTGGCCCCCCACCCCCTGCAGCCTCCTGGTCCACACGGCGCTTCCATTGCAGGCTGCGCTGGACAAGATCATATCCCATAGCGATAAGCAATGCACATCAGAGTGCTGAATGTTTGAAGGCTTTAAGATATCGCAAGATACTACCTGCAGTTTCGGGTCATCTGAGATAGAAGTGTTGAGCCTGCTACACTGTTGAGCACTTGCCGAAGACGGCGTGACATGCGTGGGTCTTCCTGTCTCAAGAATCCTCAAGTCAAGTCGGCAGAGGGAAATGCGCAGGCGACTGTTCTGTGGGCATTTTGCTTTCGGAGTTCGGCTCCGAGACTGTCTGGGACACAGAAGCGGAAGCAGCAAAGGAAAGGAGTTCTCTGAAACCCTAAACGCCTGAAACCGCCTGAACCGACACTCCGATCTGCTTCTCGCTGGAGCAGGAACAAACATCTTTGTGTTTGAGGCTCCCTCAGGCGCTGCGCACTCAAAGAGTGGCATGCGCGTTTGAGGCCCACACTTCGTTGCAGCGGCACCCAATGGATCCTGGCTGAGCCTGGGTTGATCAAGGGAATGGATAAAACGTCGAGGGTGCCGCCCTAGTGGTACGAATCAGCCTACTGCCTCTGCCAGCAGCTCGGCCGAGATAACATAAATCGAAACATGTGAGAAGGTATCGGCACGATATCAATAGCGATAGTCGCACCAAGCTTGGGTGAAACTCACAAATCTGGATTCTTCCAGGGCGAGTCCGCCGAAAAGACGAACTCCACCACCTGACAGAACAGAATCTCGAGGCAAACTCTCAACTCAACTTGTCTCGCCTGGGCGAGCTCGCCTTGCCTGAGTCACTTGCACACTCAGCAAGAGCCATGATGCATTTTCCCAGCTCCGAGGTCGTGACTTCCAGACACCGCTTAGAACGTGCCCACTCTGCAGTTTGAGCACACCCCGGCCTGCAACACAAACTGTGTGTTGTCGGATGTGCCAATCGGTCGCATCGACATTAGTGTGAGGTCACGACACGCGCTTCTGGCGCACACTAGCCTTCTGATCGCGCACCACCTCCCTGCAGCCCCTCCAAACGTTACAACACGCGCTAGCAGAGAACTTCTTCCAGTGTGGACCGAATCCCTGTCAGCCGCAGAAAGTCTCTAGCATTTTTTCGTTAGCCAATCTCCACGGGGACGGGTGGACATTTCAAGTGTGCCTCCCGCCAGGAGGCCTGTGGCCACACCATTTCGAGACCTCCTGCTATGTTTACCTAGCGAAGCACCTTCGATGTTTCAGAGGGTAAGATCTTTTCGGCTAGCATACACGGTCGTACAACGGGAACGAATGCATACAGTACTAGCCTAATGATCACCCACCACCCACATGCAACTCCTCCACAAAGCAACACGACTGCCGAGATGGCAAGGGCTCAACTGCACAACTGCACTCGATAGCGGAGCACTTCTTCCACCAGTGTGGACCGCACCCCTGTTAGCCCAGAGAAGGTCTCTGGCGTTTTTCGCTCGCCAATTTCCACAGTGGGACGTGTGGGCACCTCAAACTTGCCTCCCGTCAGGAGGCCTCGAAGCGTTCCGCACTCCTCGATTTTTGGAGTAGTAGCTCGTCGAGTGCTCCAGCCGGTCCAGGATCCTCCACTCTGACGACACCCATCCAGTGGAACACGATGGAACACGGATCCAAGGGCCCCCCGACAAGGCTGAGCTCACCAGGGATAACAGCCTGCAGGTCAGCCGGGTCCTAGCCATAGCTTGATCACCCGTCGCTCCTGGAGTCTCTCTTCTTTAGCCTGTGAGGTGAAACCATGAGCCAATAGCTGCCGGTTCCGCTTCCACTGCGGTGGCCGGCCGTCTTCTAGCACAGGTATTGGGCGACAATAGCTGCCAATCCAGGTCGCTGCTAAAGGCCTCTTCCCTACTGGCATCCTGTACCCACTCCAGTACAGCGTCCTTCAAGTCCCTATAGGGCAGCCGCAATGGCAATGGTTGTTCCCCTGGTAGTGCCACCAACTGTAGCTGTTCGTCCCCACTAGCCGATGCCACTTCTATAGGCACCTCTAGCTCATCTTCCACGTACATCATTCATTGCGGCACAGTGGGGCAATTAGCCTGTTGCCTCCCCCTAGCAACTCAATTTTGCCTCGGGACGGGAGGCCTCTTGGCCGAGATGGCCACACCAATTCGAGACCTCAATCGTAGTGTGTAGAAAATCTGCGATCTTTGCCTAGCCATAGTAGAACTCAGAAAGTTGGAATATTATTATCCTGATGACTCATGCCTTTAAGGTAACGCATACGGGATCCTAGAACTAATCCTCCTACACCCATGTTCCAACCTTCTAGAATTCGCTGTAAACACATTCGATGTTTCAGAGGGTAAAATCTTCTGGCACGCATACTGGGTCGTACCAGTGCACGAATGAAGTCACCGTTCGACAGTGGTGCCACCCACAAAACAATCAACTGATACATTGGCGATGGCGGGAGCGTCTCGGAAACTTTTCCGACCCTTGCAAACCGGCAAGCCAATTAAGACTGCGCCGCGCATCGTCGCAGGCTGGGCATCATGAGATTTGCAGGATATGTCGCAGCGAAACGCAGCGAATGACAACATCTGCCTTCTTTCCTTCCAAATGCAAACTCTCCATCGTAGACTGATCCATCCTGGCGGCTTGAAAAAAACACTTGCGAACGGAGCAAGTTGACCGCTTCCTCAGCGCACGCGAAGACGCCCCTGCCGTGACCTAAGCCAATCTGAAATCTCTTTCGCAACCAGACTATCTCCCGATCAGCTCAGCAGCACACGCTTGTCATCTAGCCACTGGCCATCGTAGCGATTGCCATTGGAATAGACGAAAACTCCGTATCCGGAGGCTCTGTCATCAACCCATTGACCTTCGCCACGTCATGTACGTACACAAAACTGACAAAACTCTACGCGTTCAGACAGGCAGGGCGGCTTGCACATCCCAGCCTTTGAACCGATCGCCATTAGAGTAGATGAGTTCACCCTCACCTTCTTTCTTGGCCTGGCACTGCATCTGTTGAACGATTGGTGCAAGACAGCCGACAGTAAGGTGCCCACATCAACCCAGTCACCAACAAACTTGTCTCCGTAAGTGTAGACAAGGGTGCCCTTGCCATGCACCTCAATATGGCAAGGGAGTTAACGTTCGCACTCGAAGGAAATCGCCTTCTAGGAACATGCATTGCAGGGGCATTTTCCGTGCTGCTAGTGACAGTCTACGAGTAGATTCTAGGCACGATCAATGTCCAAAGGCGACTCCTCCTAAGCTGAGCCTGTGTCTGCGTGCTCCCAGCGGGCACCTTGTCAGCTTTCCAAAGGCCATCATACTTCTCCCCGTTTTGGTAAGTCAACGTACCATAGCCTCCGATTGTTGTCACAGGGACGTGCCGATTTGCTGCAAGCAATGGATCGGTACGCCTTCCTTCATGTCATTCACCCACTCACCATCGTACGTGTTCCCGTTCGGGAAGACCTCACCGCGCGGACATGCCCACACAGAGCACCGCCTGTCCCTCTCTACCTCGAGACATCCTCCATGGACCGCCCTTGTCAAGCTGACATCTTAGTAGCCGGCATAGATGCCCTTACCATGCATTTTGCCGTCATGCCAGTCACCCTCGTACACTCCACCATCAGCATACTGGTACCTGGCAAAGATCATGGTACTTCTGGACATCACAGCACATGATCATGACAAGGCCGAGGGGTACTTGCCGTGACCATGCATCTTCCCATTGACCCAGTCACCCTCAAACTTCTCAACGACGCTACCTCGTGCACTGACCTTGGATGGAGAGTCTTGGACACAAAGGACGCCAAGAAACGTTTGAGGCTCTGGACTTCACATGTCTGAGGCAGCAGCGTAAGTGACTACCCCCTTCCCGTGTCGTTTATCATCCCGCCACTCACCCTGATACACATCACCTTCTGCCTCGGTTGTCGATCGGTGGCAAGATTTGCCAATGCATGCGCGAAACTCAGCAAAAGCCGAGGGCACTACATAGCGGTAGGTGCCTCGCCCATGCATTTTGCCATCATGCCTGCAAGCATCTGGAGTTTAAGAACATCGTGCGGTTCAGGTGCGGAACACCTCTCTTGGAATCATAAACCATGAGCCAAGTAGCCAATCGCCGTCGTATTGGTCTTTATTGGAATAGGTCAAGGTTCCTTGAGTTTCTTGCAAACATGCTGCCGCGACTGCGCAAACGTGCGCTTGGAACCGAACCGTGTCCGTGTATGCGGCCATTCTCCCATGTACCCTCATACCGATTTCCCGATGCGAAGACAGCCACGCCCTGGCCGTGTATCCTGTCCTCCACAAGTCGCAATGGCTAGTCGCAATGACTGATGCAGTCCCAAAGTCAAAGCCGGGCCTCGGCCCATTGACCCTCAAAGATGGCACCGTCCGCGTAAGTAAACCTTTCACTCAAACGTCACGCAGCGGTCGCGCCATGCTGCGCCATGCTGCGCAATGCTGCGCACCTGCCATGGCCTTCTCTCTTGCCATAGACCCACCTTGCTGCGAGACTTGAACAACTGTCTCCAACTCTATCCCACACTCTCCCATTGTCTCAGGTCAGCGCTCACCCTCGTAGCGCTCGTTCCCTGCGTAGGTCAGAGTGCCTTTGCCATGAAATAAGCCGTCCTGTAGCAACAGGATGCGACGTTGGAATCAGAAAGGCAACACCAACTTTGTCAGATCCTGCACAACCTGCAAGCACACGGTCCTTAATGCCGCCGCTATAGGCATTGCCGGCTTCGCTCATTGAGTCGGTCCTGAAGTAACTCTCGACATGCGGTTTTCTCTACGTTGTAGGACGAGATGAGTGCTTTCATGTGCCACGACTAAAGTGGACCGTCTTCGAATTGACTAGTGGCAGCTGAATCATCGGCTGGGAATGTATTGTACGCAGGCCGGGATTCGTAGATTCTCACATCCAGCTATCAGCCAGCCATTCGGTTGTTGAGCACAACTGCACGGAGCTGCGACGGAATTGTTCGCAGTTGGATCGCATCTCCGTGGTCGGTGCAACTGCCACAATCTCTGTCCCGAACCGGGCGCCGGACTCGCAAGATCGAACCGATAATTAGTCGCAAGCTATCCTTGTCTTGGGCCACGACGATGGCTGCAGATCTGCGTGGTCCATGTGCAGCACCTTAATCAATGTCACCTGTCCCACGCCTCTGCAAGCTGCCGTGAATGTGTTGCGCTGGAACCAGAAAATCACATTACACATCCACTGTTTCTCTCGCCGAAAAACCAACCTTCTCTGAAGCGCCAGTCTTTGTGGCTCAGAGATCACAACATTGGTGCGACCACATGGAGCATGTCGCTCCCAGCATGGCGATGGAGCCTCTCGCACAGAAGCGAACTGTACGCAACTGTGTTCGGCATAGGTAGTGGCGCTGTGAGCCGGGCACAGCAGGAGGACAGCGCAGCAAGCTTGAACATAAAGCCATGGGAGACGTGAAACCTCCAGAGTCGGAACACTTGCACCGCTGAAAGCCCAAGCTTGGAAGACTGAAGAGGCTCGGCACCAGCTGCGAGCTGAGGTGTGTCTCTTTGGGCTTGTGGAAAGAGCCAAACCCTCGGCATGAAACTCTGCTTGCTCTTGACCACACATCGTTCCACTCGAAGTGCTCGACTCAAACGTGACACGCAGCTTGGCTGCTTGGCACTCTGTTTTGCAAGGCCGGATACACGCCTGCCCTTTTAGCGCTCACATCTTTCTCGCAGCACGAACCCTGGCTGCCAAGGTGGCCCTGGCCGGCAGAGCTTTCGTCTCTCTGCAGATTGGCAGCAACTTGTTAGGCGCGATTTGATCTCCCTTTGGCCGTCGCCACTGTCCGATTGCGCATTCATGTTGGTTCAGTTCTGTAGGACGACCATGATTTTCATGCAATGGCTTCGCCGGTCCTGCACCAAGTCAGGCGCATGCTTCTCGATTCGCTTCTCGCTGCGTGCTTCCTGCCGTCTCGCCGTCTCGCCTGCCTGGTTCGTAAAACTAGCTCAACGAAAGATGATGATCATCCCGCTGCTCATGAGTAAAGCGAGCTCACTGCAACAGCGGGCAAGGAGTTCTCGGGCTGGTGGGGAAAGACAGGTGACCACATTGCAGCCACACAAGTCATGTCATGTTTTTGCAAGTGCAAAGGTAGATCTAAGGCTGCTGCCCAGCGAGACTGTGTGCATGAGTTGGTCAGGGAATCTTGTTCCAGACTGCACCAGGCGAAGCGGCTACGGCGTTTCAATCAATCAGCCATGCCGCGCCTCCGGGACTTCCTTGATCGGGCCGCTCCACCACACTCCATCAGATGCACTGATGCCCTCGTGGCAAACCTCCAAGCCTGAAGTGTCTTCTGTGCGCAGCTCAGACGAACCATGCACGAACAAGTTGCGAGCGGTGGCCTTGGACTCGTTGGCAAGCCGGGCCGCGGTGGGCTTCGCCCAACCTGAACTCTACTACTAGCTATAGTCAACCACACACTCATCTGTCTTCCGCGCTTTCCCGTGACCGAGATTCTGGCACAACTTCAGCCAAGCCCAACATATCCTGCTGCTGAACAAACTGAAGACAAGGCTCTGCCAATAAGGTCGCAATCTTATACGTTGCCGTCAGGCTATCTACCACACACCAGGAAAGATATCCAAAGCCTTCTGCCTTCCGCTGACATGGTGGTTTCATGTGTTTTCTAGGAGCCTACACGCGCTCATTCCAAACATGTCCTTGGCTGAAGCTGCTTGTGGCTCGCTCACAAGGTACCAGCGCCTGACATCGCAGAGGACAGCTACAGTGCATGGTTGAGACGGCTGTTGTTCTGCGCTACTTATATGAAGTTGTCATTAACTCACCAAAAAGCGATCACGTCCAAGGTGGCTTCCAAGCCCACAAACGAGTCCAGTCTTCTCAGATCGAGTCGAGTTAGCCACAAGCACGTGTCAGGGCCTCTCTTGACCGCTGAACAACTTCGTTAATCATTTGCGCCTTGCAAGAAAACAGTTGCGTCTAAGGTTGGACTCTGCTTTTGGCATCTTAGAAAACTGGGAGGTATAGTGGAAAGGCACACGCAAGTTGACTGCTTTGCTCCAGGTATGGCGACACGCGCCCCAACACACAGCCATGCACAAGCAAGGTGCGCGATCAGTTTTTTATAGATTTAAGAAGGAAGAGCTAAAATAGCAAGACATACGATGATACAATGCGGTGCATCAACGATCAACCTGAACCTTGCTGCTTCTCCGTGTGCCAGCAAATCCCAGCACCTGGACCTTTTAGGTTATGGAGCTTCGTATTTACACGTTCGAAAAACAGTTTCGGACACTGGCCTTCGTCAAGTATCTAAAAGAATTAGTCATAGTCTACTTCGCGAGCTTCCAACTGATTGCATTGACAGGCCCACACTCCAGAGATTGAAATGTTGGCGAAAGTTTGTGAAGAGCCGGTTCTGGTACGCTCTCGTACGCTGCACTCCCTCGGGCATTTCCAGGCGAGTGCAACTTCTTCCGCGTGGCGGAGTTGGTGTTGAAGATTGAAATTCTTGTCGTTTGCCTCCTCGACGTCTCAGCATTCGTGATTGGACGCGGTCACTGTGCCCGTGCTAATTGGGCTGCCCCGAAACATGGTTCACTTGACATGTCATGTCTGATCAAAAGGGCACTTACGCAGTGGAGCCCTTTTGGTCACGCTTAAGGCACTGGCACAACTGGAGTGCAGGGCGGCCTGAGGCCATACCAATCATGTTTATCGTGGTCAGCCATCAACTTGATGATTCTGCCTGGTGAAGCTGCCATCGTATGCCAAAGCTGTCAACGGAAGGGCTCTGACTGAGTCCTTCGTGCGTCTCACAAGTCTTAGCAGAGCCAAATTCAAGCTGTCCATATCACGGCGGCACGCCTTGCCAAACGTACGGAACTCCTCGAAGTGAAAGACCTGCACTTGCCGTAGCTGGCAGCCGCAGCAACGAAGGTGGGCATATGTCATGCTACTGAAGTGATCTCGATGGAATGAGACAGATTAAGCTGCAGAGATTAGTCCCACTCATCCGCCATCGCGGGCTCGGGCACATACCAAAGTGGATCACGCACACAGGGTAACGGAGAAGGCAAATGCAGAGACACGGCAAATTCTTGCCTCGAGATGTTGATCCTGGAGAGTTTGATCATCATGACCTCACATCTCACGTGCGCTTACGGCCATCCAGGTCAATTCAAATCAGCCCTTCAACGGTGTGCTGCAGAAAGGCTGGTCTGCAGTTGTCGCTCCGCCCCTCGGCCTGAAACTGTGGTCCGTGGGTCTAGAATCGTCTAGAAAGACGACAGGCACACCGACGCACACAATGGGCGTAGTCAATGGAAGAGAGACACGGAGACTGTCAGAGTCACAGAGACCGCTAGAGAGAGAGAGAGAGAGGGAGAGATCCAGCACAGACACCGCACTTCGGAGCGTGCCATCCAATTCGTCCTTCTTTTCCGCTTGCCTCAAAGCTGATGGTTTGGGAGACTTCTTCAGCTTGTTACAAAAACCGTCAAGACGAGAGGCATTTGGTGAAGGCGCTGTTGGAGCTGCTGAACTTCAGCTTGCAATGCCTCGGTCGCAACAAGTTCAACGATGACCTGCTTAGAATCTTCTTGTCATGAGGGCTCTTGTAACGGAGATTCCTGTTCCTCCCGATACAGTGGGATGGCACTTCAGATTCTGACGCCAGAGATCGTGTGACAATGCTTGCCACTGCTTCATGCGTGCTGCGTGCTTGCCTGCTTAAAAGCGATTATTGCAGTCCTGTAGTATTTCTGAGCCACGTTGTTGTGGGTGTAGTTTTCACCTCGCTTTCGATGCCTAGGCACAGGACAGCCTTTCGTGAGCTCATTAGTGGCACAGCCCTCTCCAAATAGTAGCTGCCCCGACAACAAAAAACAGCAGAAGGAGGGGAGGGAAGGGGAAGGAGAGAGAAGGGGAAGGGGAGGGGAGGGGAGGGGAGGGAGGTTTGTGCGTTCTGTGCTCCCGCCTTTGACATCGGAGGTTCCCTGGATGCACCACCCCTGAAAGAAATCTTGACTCGACCTGCACAAGCATGATCCCATATGTTTTTGGCGAAACTCGCACACGCTGACGTCTCCTGCCCTTTGGCAGGAAACTTGACGAAGACTCGGCACAGTTCGACCGCACATCGCATCAAACGCCTGCAAGCCCTCTTTCTTGTCTGCTGCGCGACTCTCCAAGTCTCTTCTGCCGCTGTTGAACGTAGATTCGAGTTGCTGCAGTACAAGCACATCACATTGAGGCTCAACTGCCTTGTTTCGCTTTGCTGGCTGTGGTCGTTCCTGCAGCTGAGCTCAAAGGCAGCCACGTGCTTCGTCAGGACCAGGCCTCGTTGCGCTTGATGGCCAAGGTCAGCCAACGTAGGAAGTGGCCCGAAGCAGCAAACACCTGGACGATGAGCCGCTGAATCCGCTGAATGCTGTAATGGAAAGCATAGCTGCGAAGAAGCTCGCCGGCTTTGCTGCATCATGCGGCGCGGCATACAGAAGCGAGAGTGCGACCATGCGCGCCGATTGTGGCCGTTGCAGCCTGTCACTGAATGGCTGACAAACCCAATTCATCTGAGCTAGCAGGGTGCCTTTCGTTCAGCACCTCGACCTCTTCATCAATCTTAGCGATCCTGGGATGTCGGGATTGCATCCCGGGTTCATGCGCGAGCCTGCGTCTGAGATGTGAGCTGACGCCGCAGCTGGCTAGCATGCTCCATTAGCGCCTCCCCATCCTGGTGCTGCTCCGTCGCCGACGTCACATTCAAACTTCAGAGCTGGCTCCTGAATGCTGTCACGTCGCACAGCTTCGGCCTTAGCATGGGAGACAGCCAGAGTCATTCATGCCTTCACAGCCTGGCAGAGCCCTTCGCCCAGTCTCTTTCGGTCTGCAAGTTCGGAAAGGAAGCATTCGTTGCAGATGGATCCTGGCGACTTGAGATTCGCCAGACGAGCCACGGGCCCTCCCGATTCCTCTTGCCGCTTGAGTTGAAACTGCCAGTCACGTATGAGGCCGTGGAACCTGACAATCAGAGAGCGTCACATGTGAGTGAAACGCACGTCAGACCCCATCGGAAACAATGCAATGGAGGAGAGGGAACCTTCGCAACATCTGCTGCACCTGCAACAGACCGAGCTTCGAGCTTGTGCTTCCAACAACTGCGGCAACCCTCTGACTTGGCTCATGCCATCTACTTCGCATTATGAGCATTCCATTGCAATCGTGCTTCCTTTGCTCAAAAGCAGGCTGCTTACGCCAGATGCAAAGAGAACAATCTTAAACTTGTAGCGGCGCAGGTACGACGGCATTTCCCCATCCTGTAAAAGTGAATCTCAACATGCTCCTGCATCGAATGTGGCTGTCTGGTATGTGGGAACATTTCGAATTGAGCTGGGCTGGGAGCTGCTTCCACTCCTCGCCCCCCTTCGCATCTTGTCGTCACGTGCAGCAGGAGATTGAACAGCTTGTGTTTATGTCAGATAGAGGGGATCTGCTAGCTCAGCATTGCGAAAATCTGCTCTCTAAGCCTGCAAGCCTCAGATCAGAAGCCTCGTGCGAACGAAACGGACAGAGAGGAAACACAGTTGTAGTTCTGCAGTTCAGTATTGGCGGCATGGGCCGGCGGAGGGGGCTGAGGGGACGGCGAGACGGGACACGAGCATCCACCAGCCCTACGTACTGCGCAGGTCCTGTAACACCTCCAGAGCACGGAAAAAGAGCCGCCAGGGGGCCAGATCCTTCATGTGGTGGACCAGGAGGCATGAGGGAAAGAACGAAGTCTGCTGAAATTTGGAAGCCAGTCTCTTTTGGGTTGGGCTCTGAAACCCGTCGACGCCGATTGCAAAGGTCTGGTTCGGAGACGAGTTGGCACTTGGACTGCCGAGCACGCAAACTGGTAGAGCCGTGGCATGGCTTGCGCTGCCTGAAGCATCTTGTTCTCACAAGAGCTTTCACTTTCATTTGTCGAGCGCAGCGAAGAGTGAGTAAAAGCATGAATGCAGCACCTAGATGCGGCCGTCGCTCAGGTGAGGCAGCGTAGAGCATCGGTAGCTAAAACCACTGTCTGCCACAAGCCACGCCTCAGGGTCTAGAAAAGTTTCGTGATGCAGCACTCTTTTTGTTCCGATTCAGCGTTTTTGTCTCACGATTCAGCGTCAGTCGCCGATTCAACACTTTTGATGCTTCGGCTCAACAGTGGTTCGCGATTCAGTCCGTGATAGCTACCGATTGCATTTGATCAGCGACTCAAGCGTTTTCTTTGCCGATGTTAGCATCATATCTGCATGATTCGGCAGATTCGAAGTTTCTGGTTCGTGCGTTTCTAGGCATTGACACGCGTGCGCAGCGCCGTCAGGTAGCAAGCGATCCAAGAGCCTCTCGCTGCCTGACATGCACGATCCTCAACGATCCTTCAGGATCCTCGAAAGGGGTATGTAGCGACTTAATCACCTACTCCAGTGCCGACCTCACACAGCAGCATACACTCACAAGAATTTTGGGTTTTGCGATTTCGGCTAGGAGATGCTAGGAGCCTCGACTCAAGGCGGTTTCAGCAACTATTGGGGGTGATGATCGTGCACAAGCT